AACCCTCTTTGCATCAAAAATAATGCCAGGATTCTAAGTATCTCTAAGTTATTTAAGAAAGCTAATGAGGACCACTTAACTTGGACAACAAAATGAATTATAATGCTTTCGCTGCAATTTTAGAATAATATTAAGTAAGTTGTAGGTTAAAATTATTTTTAACTAAGTTGACTTAACCCAAACATCAGAATGCATATTCTCTGTACTGTTGTCCATACATTTTCTGTGACACTACTGAGGAGAATTAAGCTAAAAATCATGAGCTTTTAAAAAAATGCCATTATTTCTTTAATTCTCATGAAACTAATGTTTGCTTTAGCAGTTATACATGTATTTTAGTAACAAACTATGTCTTAGTTCCCCTTACAGATTAGAGTTTACCCCGGCATTAACTCCCAGAAGCAATTTATTGTTGATACTTCTCTCTATAATATCTATACATAATCCAGGGAGCCAGGAAATGGGAATTCTCAAACTTATCAGGTAGAAGTTGTTCCCTTGATCAAACACCAAATTCTTATAGCTAATTTACAAGGAAATGTGTAGCAGCTAGAGAGGAGAATTTAGCAATCAGACCTTGGGTGCTAAAGGGTAAAAGAGAGGAAAATGTTTCACTAGTAAGTTACTACTGATATGCCCAACCACAACATGCAGAACACAAACCACTTTTACCCTACTTATTGCAAAAAAAAATAATAAAAAAACATTACTATTTCAGTCACAAATTTTCTTTCCTGTAGCTCCTATCAGCTTTAAAAGTTTACAAAGATCTGGAAAAAACGAGGGGTGAAGCCACAGGGATGACGCCTCGCAGAGACATAGAGCCAGGTTGCTCAGCAAGACCCAAAAAGAGCGGCAAGCATAATTGATTTGTCAGCACATATGAAGAGAAAATGCGGTCTGAGCTTCATTTCTTCTATACATAGTGTTGTAAATGGGGCATCCTAAAAATACTAGTCTTTGAGACTTTGAAGATCGCCAACACGCTGTAAAAGTGACATATACAAAGATGTCTTGATATCCCTTTCTAAGAGACTACTCTCTAATCTTGAAGTTGGCACAGTTTAGTCAATCAGATCGAGACGAACTCCTGAGTATTTTTTGAAAAACTGAACCTAAGGCGCTGTATATGATTCATCGTTATGATTTAGGAGGCAAGATCGCAAACAGCTCCCTACCGCTTATGGCGAGCCCCCAAGACTTCATCTCTAATAAGTTAACTTAATTTGACAAATCAGATAAATTACCTTTTCTCTCAAATCTTGGAAGTCGTCCATGTAAATAGCTTGAAGAGCTTGCAGTTCTTCTTCCTGTCGTTCGATGCAACTTTCCTCCATTTCAAACAAATCACAATCCCGTAAAGAAGAGATTTTTTCCATACAACCTCCTCAGCTCAAATGCACAACATCAGGCCAATACTTTAATTTCCTTGAGGCGATTATAAACACAGTTTAGCATTTTGCATTGTGCGGTATTCGACCACAACTCCCAATCTTTAGAGAAATATCCTGTTTGATAATACTCGTTTTCTTTTTCGCATTCCAGCTTCAGAATTTACCCCAGGTTTACGCAATTTCAAAGTAATAATAATAGACAATAGTCGAATGGAAACTGATAATGCACACGCGTTGTCAACCTTATTTACGTTCGATTAAAAAGGATCTGGTTACGAGATCACTTTGACCAATGAGAACTCGCTTTACATTTCCAATCACATGACAGGAACGTGTCTTTCTAAGGAACAAAAAATATATATATTTATGTTAAGATTACTTTCCTGGAAAAAGTAAAAGTCAAACCTATCTAGATTTCATATGTTTCAATCAGTCATCAATTTTCGAAATATTTATTTAAACAAGAGGCATTTAAGGTAAAGGTAAATTTCAAAATAGTGCATTTTTTTTTTTTTTTTTGGTGTCATGCTCTTTATCAGCTGAATCTTACATGTCTCGTGATTGGCGCTTGATCGTATTAACAGTCAGGCGGTTTATTCACGTGAGTCGCAGCCCTCTATTTGCCCCATTTGCAAATGTAAACCCTAATCTTTACACCTTAACATCTCAAGTTTGCAAGGTCGGATGTCCTCAAGTTTTACATTTAGGATGGAGGATTCTAATCAAGTCATTGCTGTTTGTATGTTACTGGCGGCGATCAGCTGCATTTTGCGCGCGCGTGAATGCATCCCTGTGCACGGATACGAGAGCTGCGCGTGCTATTTTCCCGGAGTTAATGATACTTGGAAATATGTCAACCTTCTTCCATTGAAGATAAATTCTTCTTCGCCAAGGTATGTCTTGTGTTCGTAGTGTAAAGGTTCATCTTAGCTGACTGAAACTCTTTAGGACACTTGTTTGCGTAAACTTTCGAAAAACCTCGTAACTTGTGGCATGTAGCGCCTAGCTCGCAGCTCTTCTTGGAGAATCATTACTTCAGTTAAAACACTTTTAAGTGAACTGAAGGCTAGATTTCCGCGCAGCCCTCACTTTATTATGCATACAGTTCTTGGATAACGAAAACAAATTATAGCGAAAACAATAGATTGTCTTAATTTAGAGACCACGGCTCTTTTGTGGTTAGTACTACGGAAATCTTTCCGATTGAATTAACTCGTTTCTAGATCCTATGATCTATTCCTCTAACATCGATCGTATCTTTGCGAAAACCTATGAGCTTGCTACGATCGTGTCAACTTACTAACAGAGTCGTAATCAATTATTTAACAACGGCATTTATTTGATTTATTAATCGTAGTGCGTTTATGACAAAGCGTGAAGTCTATATTATTATCACACAACTCGGGCAGTCAGACGGCCATTAACTAAAATCAACCAATCAAAATGCTCTATTGCCAGTCAATATTCTCTCAGTATTGGACCGGCCATTGTCCCGAATGGTCCCGAATGATACCGCACTTGTGTCCCTTCGAACGTCAGTCGTATAATAAATCTCTTATTAACCAAGCTTGCTCGGGACCGTACTGGAAGAATATCGGCCATCGGTCTTTTTTGTACGAGGTCCGTACTGTCAAGACCTCGGGCCGATATTCTCCCAGTACGGCCCTCGTGCTTGGTTAATAATTATATGTATTAGCCATCTGTGAAGAACAGACTTAGTAAAGTATTTATTATGTCGTCAAAAGATTTACAGAAAAACCGTTGATCTTAAGAATAAGAAATACCAATTGTAAGAAGTCATGTAGTGAAAGTGGAAGTAAGTCTATCATTTACGGCCCATTTACCATGCTGTGAATGGGCCATCTTCCATAACATGTTAGATTTTGTTAAATTGAGAATGGCCTATTCGATTGAAAGGTCCTGGGGTCAGGTGATTGTAATGCATAGTGGATATTTATTTTTTAATGCTTTGTAGGTTTACCAGTATGACAGAAAAGGATTGGTACATATCTTATAGCCCCTGTGGTGAATTCAGTGAGTTTGTAGGGGAAAACAGTACAAGAACCATCTCTTGTTCAAAAATTTCAGTGAGTACAAGTCATAGGCTTCTGGGATCTAAATATTAGATAGTAGCTGATAACTCGTAGGGCATGTTTGTTCATCTGGAACTTGCAAGGGACTAAGACCCTGCAAGCAACAAGTGCATTAAGCAAGAACAAGCAAATTCAATGAATGATCATGCAAACCCCAGTATTATTTTATTACTATAACTATTAATCTGTTTAAAATATCCCTGGAGGGTTTTTATTTATAACAAGTAAAAAAATCACTCAGGATTAATAACTGGTAGAATAATCAAAAGGTTTTTGACAGATCAGAGTGCAGTAAACACTTTTAGAACATCTTTTAGCTTGATCATGTGCTGTGATAATTCATTTTAACAGGTCATATATCAATGAATCACCCTTTAAAATAAAAAATTTGTCTGTACTTGAACCCCAAGATATAATCTTACTAAAATATCTTACCAATCTCATTTTCTTGGTCCATACTTTAAGTTACAGAACCTACTTATTTCCCAATCAGATTTATTACCCAAGCACATTGTGCTTATGTAGTAAGAGCTGTGAATGCTTGTTTTGTACATATACACTTGTTGATCTCCAATTGTGTACTAGGTCGCCAGGTGGACTAACTCATCTGCTCACCAGTGTGATAGTTTGGGTGATGAGGCCAATGGAAAATTTGAAATGGATAATCAAGATGAATTTGTCAAGTCAAATCTTACTCTTAAATTCAAGTGAGTGCTTTTAACATCGTAATTTACAGTCAACCCTGTATTTACCAGTCACCCTTGGGGAATCCATTATCATAATTTTTGTGGTTATCATTATAGTGATTGTCATTCTCAAGACCAATATCAGATATTCTTGTTATCACCATTACTATCACTAGACTAAGTATCAATATTATTATTGATATTATTATAATCTTTATCATCCACTACTACAATTATAACTGCAGAGTTTTGAACCAAGTCAGTACTTGCTTCAAAGTATTGAATTCTACTCTTTGTTTGTGTTAAAGGGATGAGAAAAGTGGACATGGGGCTGTGATATCATTGATTTGCAATAACTCTTTACCACAAAATGAGACTTTCTTTGAATATATTGGCACCAGTTATGTCCCAGTGGATACCTACGTATTGTACTGAAGGCCTAGAAGCACCTAGAAACAACCTGACAGTAGGAAGGTATGAAGATGTAATAAAAATCATTAAGACCTCTACTTATGCTTCATCTTCTTCCAGCAAGACAAGAGGTGGCTTCACTGAAACAGGCTCCCACATGTTGTCTTCCGATGAGGTTTCAGATGGTGCCCCAAATCCATGGAAACATACCACTTCATTAGGGGATGGTGGGCTTTCATCACAATCAAGCAGCGACAATGTTGCCTGGTCCACAGTTTCAATCAGCAATGCAGGATCGAGGCCCATGCTGCCAACCAAAGAAAGGATGAAATACTTTGGGGTCAAACTGAGTGACCCCACCCAGTTATACACAGTTCCTACATGGCCCCTCTTTGGAAATTTGCGTGTTATAACACCCAGTGTTATATGTCTCACCGATACTTTCACATACAGTTCACTTATGTCAAGCTCAACTGGCACCCTCATTTCTCTTGCTTCACGCAGACTTTCTTGAATTGCAAATTCTTCTTGGCAATGAAGAAGCTCTTCCTTTTTTGCTTGTTCTTTCTCTTGATGTTTTCTCAAAGAATCCAGATATTCTTTGTCCTGATCTTCCATGGATGAATTTCTTTCATCAGAGGTACCAAGCAAACCGTTAGAAACTGTCTCCTGTCTATTGTCAAAAACTGGTTTTGATATTTCACTATCATTGTCATCGATGGTCCTGTTCAAGAGGTAAAGTCTAAATTTGGTAAGTTTGTACTTAGCAATATACTTTGCCAGTGTGAACTGCTCCTCTACCTCTTCGCCTTTAAAAGTTTCCAACTTTAAATGTCATTATATCTGCATCACCAAGTGTGGACATCCCATCGGGGAAATAAACCTTTTTCATTATGTTCAGCACCCCTACATAGGAACTTTCAATTGGAACAGAAATTTCCCTTATTCCTCCTCCCTTTATAAGTCGTACACTGACATATCGCTTTTCATTCTCAATATATTGCTGCCACCCAATCTGGATCTTTTTAAAAGTCTGGGTCTTTTATCAAGGTGGTGATCGAGGGTAATCATCTGATGGAAAAAACGTTCCCTTGCTAGAAGCTGCCTTGGATTTTCTGGAAGTTGTACCAAGTAGATGGATTAGTTTCAGAAGTTTGGATTTTCGCTCTTCTTTTTCCTTGTCTGTACTTGGAACAAATGATCTCAGTGCAAGTATATCGCCCCCGGCGAACCAAACCAAGGGCTAGGAAATCTCCATCTGTTGCCATCCTCACAACTGTAAAGTCCATCTGTAGTAAGGAAAAATGAGTTTACCAAAGAGAATACTATGGATTCAAACCAGTCCAGTAAAATATGACTAAATATGCCACTTGAGGTGTAATACGAATATGTAAACTATGAAAAAAATACATAAAATGCATGCGGGTCCTATAGGTATATATTCCAAGGTAAGAAACACAATAAGGAAAAATTAATAAAGGCAACAGATACATATAGAATAATGCAGGGATGTATGGAATTTCTCTTCAAGTGCTCAACTCAATATATCACGTAGCAAACAAATAAGATCTTGAGGTTATATGGAATTTCTCAGCAATTGTTCAACTTAATATATCGTGCAGCAAACAAGTAAGATCTTGAGTTGAATACAAGAAGAGAAATTCCATGTCTGGAAGCAAGATTCGCCGTATATCATGTTCAACATGAACATGTACATGCCATATATCAGGCCTAACATTTGCCATACATCATGTTCATCTACTTTGGGATGTTACATGAATTAGTAGGTAAAGGACTACATGTTTGTCCAATTTGGAAGTAATTGA